TAATTAATATCAGTGTTTTTCCTGTCATTCTTAACAGTTGATCAAGTGTTGAGTCAAGGGCAACAAGGTCAGAAGAGGTCATCAGCTGATGTCCAGCCAGGTTGGTTTCTGAATTTGATTTGGATTTTTTGAACTGCAGTTCATAATAATATGAGTTTTTACACAGCACTTTGCAGTAAATTCTTAAAACCCTTGACATATGTTTAAATTGAACAACACTTCCAAGTTATAAAAAAGTATTGCAAGTAATCTGAAATACGAAACCATTGTGTGTCATTACCAAAAAAGCATTGTATTAGGTCCAGATTTTTTGAATTTTTATTGGTCAGATAAAGAGGAATAACATTTCAGAGTTGGGTATAAATGCAGTGAAAAAAGATATCCATTTGTGCATTTAATCCTCCACACCTATTCAAATGTAGGTGTTTTGTTGCTTATGGTGCTTCATGGTGTTTTCTTTCTTTACCACTATCTTATTAAACAAGTTGATAAGAAAAACTTTTTGACAGTGCAATAACTGTAGCCGGGGCCACTTAGACCAGTTAAATATTAGAACCAATTAAAATGTGGAATAAAAACAAATTCATTTCGACTTTGGGTAGGTGCAACCAATCAGAAACCTAGATTGTATGAGAATGGTAATTTGACTCTTATGTTATGCGTAAACAACTAGATAACCATGGTAACTTTTATCATGGAAATAATAACCATTCAAGTTCCAATGCCAAGCACTGCATTGAAGTTGCCATAGACAGCTTGTAAACAAAATGAAATTTTGTAGACCTGTGCTGCATGTCCTTGGGTCTTGGAATGTCCTATCACTTATCACCTATTACATATCTCCTTTGACTCTGACAACCTTTTTGAAAATAGGTGTACATACCATTTTAAGTCCCCAGAAGAAACTAGTTACAAACCTGTCTTATATTTCCATACACCTATAAAGGTAGTAAGAGCTAAAGGAGAGAGGAAAAGGAATTATTGTCATACATCTAAACACGAATAATCGAGGACTTAAAATAACTTTGTCTACTAAAAGTAACACTGAATTTCTCAATATTGGGCTCTGTATTCTTGAGAAGCATAATATAAAGAAACACAAGTCATTCCAGCTATTCTTGGATCTTGGAATGACCTGTCTAATTGTCTTTGACTTCAACAACCTTTTTTGAAATAAGTGTTAACACAATAGCAAATGTGACATTCCCAAGTGGGCAAAACCATCCTCTTTATTTGTAATTTGTAAAAAGTGGTTTGTTTGTGTGTGTTTTTAGAGGAAGATGTCAAGACCAAAAAAACGAGAACTACAAGTGACAATAGAGAGAGGGATCCTGCAGAAGGTAAGCTGGCTAAAGGAATGGAAAGCCGTCAATACTGCAATAGCCTCAACGAGTTTCATACGAAACTGCGCGCGGTGGATCTGGGAGCGATCTTATTTATGCTTGCTCTGTTAGAGACTGGTGCGAATAGTATATGGATGTATATAGATTGCACTTTTTCCAACATGATTGGTTGGGTGGAAATGATAATGAATAAATTCGGACTGACTGTTTATTGTGTAGTTCCAGATAATATCCACACCCCACCATGGAGAATATTTGAAAAAAGGTCCCCCATGCCTTTGGAATTTCCACTAGAGTTTCTTCCATACAAACCTTATAATGTTGTTTTCCCCTGACCACCTACCCCTTGGGAATTTCCAATTTCCTCCAGGGTAGGGTATGGAGTTTTCTGGAACCACACATGCAAAGAAAAAAAATATTACACTTATCACCCCCACCATATAAATTGGATGTCATGAAGATTGAATGCAGCAGTGCTTAGAATATTTAAAAAATTTTTTTCTAGATTCCAAAATGCTAAAAGGGGCAATAAAAGCTAACACAGAGAACCAAACCAAACTCATGGCCGCACATGACGTTATCAGTGCAAAGACAGATGAAATCTTTACCAATCTGACAGTATATTATGCAGATAAAAAACAAGAGAAAAAAGAGCAAGCAAAAGACCTGAGTAGAAGTGAACAGCTGCAGGAATACACCAAAAGAACAGGTTGTAAAGTTGAGAAATACGAAGATATATTCATTGACATGCAAGGAGAAAATCCAAAATTACTTCTTACTGGTAAACCCGGGATAGGTAAAACTATGTTTTGTGATAAAATCATTCGAGATTGGTCTATGAATAGATTATTTCTAAACGAAGACACTCCTAATATTCAGTTCGCCTACCTGTTGAAGTTCCGTCATTTAGATGGCGACGAAGAGATTAACTTACAAGAATTACTGAATTGTTCGCCCCTTCTGGACGACAATTCAAAGATCAACGATTCATTGTTTGAACATTTGATTCAAAATCCCTCCAAGGTACTGATCATCTTGGACGGGTTTGATGAATGTTCAGAACAACACCGTAAACAAATCGCTGACGATTACGAGGGAAAATATCCAAATGATTCCAGAGAAAAGATGCCAATCCCAGCACTTTGTTCTAAATTAATCAGAGGAAAAGTTTTTAGAAATTCCGTTGTTCTGGTATCTTCAAGGCCAGGCAAGGCCGAGGAGTTGGGAAAAATCAATTTTGACAGATACGTAGAAATTTCGGGCCATGCACCTGAACAAGTAACCGAGTATGTTGACAAATATTTCAGCAAACCAGAAAAAGAACGAACAAAAAAGGCGGTACGCGAACACGTGGGAAAAAATAAAAACCTACTTAGTTTTTGTCATATTCCGCTATTTTCTTTCCTGTTGTGCTGGTGTTTAGAATGGCGAATTACTCATAAAGGAATCACAGAAAATCTACCCGCTAAAATAACCGATCTTTATGATGAGGTTGCTAAAGTCTTGGTACAAAACCTCCATGCAAATCTTAAATATTTAGCATTGCCAGAATATGCAATGAAAATAGCTCAAGAAACGCTAGATAAACTAGCAAAATTGGCGGCTATTTTGCTGAAGGAAAGTAAATATATTTTTGACGAAGATGACATGAAAAAACTAGACCTTACCGAGGACGAAATTGAAAACTTGAAAGTAAGCGGCATTCTTCATTGTGTTCCTGGAATAAGAATTTCTCCCTTTCAAACAAAAGCAGAGTTTAGTTTCACTCATTTGACTCTGCAGGAATATCTCTCTGCTTCTTTTTTTGTGAAAAATAAGGAAATCCCAAAGAAAGAGGAAGCGAGTGGGCAGACGTTTGTGTTCATGTGTGGACTTTTGTTGAGGGAAAAAGATGGAGAACTAATGAATAAATTAATCCAACAGATAACACCTAAGGATAATAATGATCATGTAAATAAACTGGTATTGTTACAGTGTCTGTATGAGTATGGAGAGCAAGAATTAACTAAACAAACCATAAATAATATGTACGATAAATACTGTAGTAGTCGTGGGGACATTGGTTTTCATGGAGTCACAGATGTTGATATGAAATACTTATCGTATTTGTTGGATATCATTCGTTCACTAAAAGAACAACATCCACAGTCATCTAGAGATTATACATTGAGAATTAGTGGTTCACCGTTAACCTCGTTTGGTGTTGGTGTTGTTTGTCGTTCACTTGTTCGTAATTCGTTTATAACTATACTTAAGCTGTCGGGTTGTAGTTTAGATGATAAATGTGTAGAACAAATGACTGACTCACTAGTGGACACTGGAATAACCGACCTAGACCTAAATAATAATAGTATATCAGACGAAGGAGCAGACAGTATTTGTAGTGTACTAACAGAAACTAAAATAACCGGTCTGAACCTAGGGAGTAACATTATAACAGACCAAGGAATAAAGAGTATTTGTAGTGTATTAACACAAACTAAAATAACCCACCTAGAGCTAGGGAGGAGTAACATAACAGATGAAGGAGCAGACAGTATTTGTAGGGTTATCATACAAGATGACTGTCATGTAAAACACTTAGTATTACTTCAAAATCTGAAAATAACTGCAGAATGTAAGAAACTTGTAAGACAACTTGTTAAAAGAAACAAACGTGGTGTTAAATTGCATATATAGATAAATGAAAAAAGAAAATTGCTCGAATATAACTATTATTATCATGCAAATTATTTTTCCATCGGCTAGTAACGTTGCATTTGTTAGCGTACAAAACAGCCAAAAGAAATTAAGAAAGAACGAAAAAAAACAAAGAACAACAGCAACAAACAAACAAAAAAAACCAGAAAATAATTTGAATGATAAATGATTGTTTATAAAACTGCAGGGCCCCGTTGTAGGAAGTGCTGGATAGCGCTATCCGACGGATATATCGTATCCAGTGGATAAATTCATTGGATAACAGCATTGACTTATCTACTGGATAAGGATTTATCCGCCGGCTAGCGCTGTCTAGGCTTCGTACAACCTAGTCTCCCTCGCATCCGTTTTTAGTGTCGGTGGAGCGTTGCGTGACGACCGACACTAAAAACGGATGCGAGGGAGACTACGTACAACCGGGCCCTGGGCCAAGGTGTATAAAGCTCTCTTAAGATAAAAAAAGCTTAAAAACACTCGTAAGTATTGTCTTAGTACAATGGCCTATTGTTTTGGAACAATACTTACGGATGCTCTTATCTTAAGAAAGCTTTATGCAACCGGGCCCTGGAGCCTATCCTATTTTTAGTTTTCATTATTCATTATTGAAATATCCTGCTTTATTCTAGTAAAATTATTGTTCGAAAAATATTTTATTGGATAATAAAGAAAAAGTATTGGAGTTTAAACTTTATTGTAATAATTTCTGTTTTCCTCAACAACAATCTACTGAAAATCAAAGATATTGATAAATGTCAAATGGTTCGATATCATATATGTAAAGCGTATGAGACCATGTATAATGCGCTATGTAAGAACCTAAGTTGGTTTGGATCAATATTTCTATTGAACAAAGGTAAAAGATACTTTTTTGTTCCAGATACTGACAAAAATACGACTTATCCCTCCCCCCCCCCCCCCAAATAAAAATATTCGACTGAGAATGAAAGACCCCTCTAATTTTCGTTATTCTACATAGATTTTCCGTTGTATTTTAATGCAGTAAGGCTAGAAACCTTGTGGTACTGAAAATGGCGGCATATGGTCGCTTGCGTCGAAGATGATTACTAAGATATATGGACAAATAGTAACGAATAATAACAGTACTAGCTGGACGAATTTTAAACCTTCAGTTCAAAAAAAAAAATTCATTCACCTATTTTATAATGACGTCACATGAAAACAAACTATTGTTTTAACGCTAGGGATCATCGTCGCTGGAGGGGGACGGAATGACAACAGCACATCTTAAATCACAATGAAATTTGGTTTACGAGCTGGTGAAGGCAAGAACAACAAAATATTACACTAAATATCTCGAAAGAAGAGAATTAAGCTTAAATTTAGCCTAAATTTCTATCCGAAGTAAACAAACCGTGACGTCATTATGAAATAGGGCAAATTGCCCTATTTCACTATGACGTCACATCAAAACAATCTATTGTTTGACGCAAAGGATCATGGTCTTCGGAGGGGGTCAAATCAACGCAAATTCACTGAAATTGTCCTAAAACCCGTATCAATCCACAAAGAGAAGTAGAATAGCCAGCAAACGCTCAGAATATTTTTTAGTACATATTAACACATATTATATCTGAAAGCCTTTCACTAGGAGCATAAACAAGCAGTGACGTCATAGTGAAATAGGGCAATTAAAGCCAAAGATAACAATAATAAGCGCGCACGGGCACACTTGGGATACTAGTTGATTGTCCTCTGGGGTGTCAGTTGATAGATTGTACTCGCTGGTGTCATCGTAAAATTTTCTCGGCCTGCATTATAAAAGTCTTGCTTCCGAAAGAGAAGTCAACTGAAACAATGTATCTTTACTAAATATTGAGTTATAAGAAGCTTTCGATACCGAGGTACATGCATAAACGATCCGGAGTCAAGTGTGCTTATTACTTAATGTGAAATGTATTGGTCCCCCATCTTGGTGCACCTCAATTGAATTTATTAGTTATGGAGGACATTGCCTAGATCTCAAATTTAAAAAATGAAAGTTGATCTTTTACCCGAATTCATTTTCACTTCTATACATGCAAAGTCTGGTTTGTTCTTGGCAAAGCTAGCTAACCCTAAGTTCCTTGCATTTGCTTTCATTGAGCTCGAAGCCTTCTCTTTTTTGTTGGTCATTTTGATCAGACGAGTACCGTGGCCGAGGGAAGACATTAGTCGTTAGTCGAAACTCGCATCTGAAGTGATCAATAAACGACTTACGAGTTACAAGTTGCCAAGTAAGAATTTGCGACCTACCACTTAGGACTTAGCACTTAGCACTTTCAACTTGCGACTTAGCACGAAGACCTCCCCTCCCCTCCCTAAAAGTTTTCGAATTTCTAGGCGAGGAGACTGGGGTGAGGACTCGTTTTCGTAACCAAAATGGCGGATCAAAAAGAAGGTTCGTACATTATTGAAGTTTTCCGTATAATCTAACAAAAAACTTTTTTTTTTTAAAGTGTACAGGTGGGCAGCACAAATGAACAACTGATCTTTCCTAAGGTTTGGTAAACTTTTTTATTTCTCCGACGCGTTTCGTCTGTAAGCAACAGACTTCTTCAGGGATAGCGCTAACCATGTGTCCCAAAAAGTATAAAATAACAAAAATTCCACTATTGCCTAGCCTATTTTACGTGCTTTCCTGCTACGACATGTTTGTATGTTTTGTAATTTCCTGTTAATAGTCCATATAAACTGTTGTAATAATATTAATCGAAGTAATATGATCATCCGGGTGGATGTAGTCCTGAGAAGGACTGTTTGATGTGACTGACGTTTCGACAACCTGAGCGGAAGTCATCTTCAGAGTCAAGTGAAGAATAAAAGTCAGATTGGTCATATTTATATTGCCAGGATAACAATAGCCTAATTACACGAAGAAGCTTAATTGGCGGCATCGGTCTAATGAGTGCGCGTCACTGTTTCGGTGTTGTAGGCGGTTTTATTGTTTCTAATAAGCCTATTATACGGAGCCGGTAAATTAATTGAGCGGTTTAGTGGATGACTGGCTCGAACTTGGTAAACCAACTCTCCAGTACAAGTCGTTGCTGCCTATTGTTGCAAAAAGAAAGGCATTCACTGGATTCCCAGTCTATCGTATGACCAGTCTTGGTATGATGGATGGTATGTGGTTGTAAAATGCGTGATATGATCTCTGACGTACCTCTGATGTATGGCAGTGAAATGAAGGCTTTTGATGCATTAGCCTTGTCATCAGGATTATTTTTAGGTCTACTAGGTTTATTAGCGTTGCTATCAATAAACGTATCACTGTAATTGTTCTTATGAAACATGCGTCTAAGATGTTGAGCTTCATTGCTTAGACTGTCCGGCTGCAGAATCACATACAAGCTGTTATAACAATACTCATTTGTAAACTCCCTGAAGAAGTCTGTTGCTTACCGACGAAACGCGTCGGAGTAATAAAAAAGTTTACAAAACCTAAGTAAAGATCAGTTGTTCATTTGTACGGAAGCCCTGGAGGGACATTCATACTTCGCACTTCTTATTTCACATATTTAAGTGGAAACTTGACACTCCATTCTTCACGCTTCACATTTCACACTTCATAATTCACACTTAAAATTTCAGTTATAAAAATTAACTTCGGACTTCATTGTGTGCATTTCAGAAAATCAGACAAGAAGCTAGAAAACCAACAGATATGGTAAGTCTATTTTTGCTAGGTAGGTCCATTTACTAGATATGTACGACTAAACTTTTTTGTTTTATTTTCTTTCTTTCTGGTTTTTTTTTAGGTCGTGATCAGGTGGTTCTTTACTATCATTTTCGTTGTATACGTTGTTGGCACCGCAGAGACACAAGTGTTGCCACGGTACACTTTTTCTCATCTCCAAGGTTATCAAAGAGAAGAAATGGGAAGAGATGACTTGATTGTCAACTATTTTAATCAAGGATATTCCTATAATGAAATAATTTTCACTTTATTAAGTGTTCCTTACATATGTGAAATAAGAAGTGCGAAGTGCGAAGTATGAATGTCCCTCCAGGGCTTCCGTAAAAAAATAATTAAAAAAAAAATTGTAAAAAAAAATTGTAAAAAAAAATTATTAAAAAAAATTGTAAAAAATTAAAAAATAAAAAATCGCCCAGTCTCCTCGCCTAGAAATTCGAAAACTTTTAGGGAGGGGAGGGGAGGTCTTTGTGCTAAGTGTTAAGTTGCAAGTTGAAAGTGCTAGGTGCTAAGTCCTAAGTGGTAAGTCGCAAGTTCTTACTTGGTAAATTGTAACTCGTAAGTCGGTTATCGATCACTTCAGATGCGAGTTTCGACTAACGACTTACGATGTCTTCCCTCGGCCACGGTAGGATCTTTGCTCTAAGTGCAGTGCAAACATAGTCTAATGAAAGATCCCTATTTGTATTTTTGAGACATTTCTATGACGACAAACCGCTTCTAGATATTAAATTTTCATATTTTAAAAATATGCTAATGAATTAATGCTGCTGTGATATCTCGTCCCCAGAGTCTGTTTCTCAGGATAGACTTTTCCACAGTCTCTCGCTCGTCCGTTCCGTCTCCACGCTTAGAGACAACCTCGTTCCCAGGGCCCTCTCGGCCTGACTCCAAAACAAAATGGCGACCGATGGCGACCATTTTGTTTTGGAGTCGGGCCGAGAGGGCCCTGGGAATGAGTTTGGCTTAGAGACTGTAACGGTACAATGACCGAAAGGACTTATGGGTCCCGAAAACTTGGACCCAGTCAAGAGAGACTGTTTAAGCACGAGTCTATTTCTCAGAACCGTGCACGTGCGGACGGCAAACTGATTAAGAGATCGCTCGTCAAAACTCTCTTTTTTTCCTCCGTGAAGCTTCCATAGCCGAGAGGAGCATCTAAACCAAGCACCATGGTAAGCATTCTTTTTCCTTTTTTCTTGTTTTAAAAGGTTTATTTCTCGTTGTATACACAAGAAAACAAAAACGTACGACATGTGCTTGAACGTTTTGTTCTTTCTCGCTCAATACAAGTTTTAGAGTATTTTTTGATTTCCCTGCCTATAAAATTTATAAAGATATCCAGTAAAAATATTCTTTTAAGCGTCAGACTCTTCATAGTTGAGTTCTATTTGCTGTAAGCATTGAAGTTTTGACAAGAAATTTGAAATACGTCTGATGAACCTTTTCAACACGTGAAGGAACGGTGAAAATTTGTTAGGAAAAAGTTAGGAACTTAAAAAAGTTAGGAACTTTGGGGCCATACTAGGTTACAATAAACTGTATATTTTGTTTATTTAAAAATGGAAACGTCTTGGACAGCTCAACTTATGGTATATTGATCAACCCTAACCTTATTTGTGAAGCCTTGACTAGGATTAAAATATTTTGACAAAATAATCATTCCATGAGTATTCATGCTTTTAGAAAATAACTGACTGATAAGGACTAGCGTCCGAAACGTCAGTAAGTTTATTCACCTTTTCACGGTGTATGATTTACCCTTTTATCATTACTGTTTCATTAGAAACACCGACCCAGCTCACACTAGTTTTTAGCTAGTTATCTCTTCTGACTTATAATTCACGTTCCTAATTGGTCTGTCTTGTGCTTTGTGATAGCATACAGCATGCAAGTGCACGTTAGTCTATCTTGTATTTTATCATAGAAAAGAAAAATTGCTTGCTGGTCTGTATGTAATAAATATATTTAATTAAAAAATAAATAAATTTATTGTAAAGCTCTTGAGGAATGACAAAACACTCATATTGATTTACAGAAATATATGAAAGCAGGGGGGCTTACCATTTGTCAAAAAAAATTGGAAATTTTTGATATTGGTATGGTCATTTTTCCAAATTTTCACTCCAGATTTCGCTTTCACTTTCACTCATATAATGCTAGAAGGAATAGGGACTTACATCTCCCCCTACCAAGGTTAACTCTTGGTATGTGAACACTAAGTGTCTAAGTCTTAGATATTCTGGGACTCTAGAATTCAATAAACTAACGAAGGAGATGAAGGAGATCATGTCCTTAACTACATTCAAACATCGTTTGAAATAGACCCGTTTCAAATTCCAAATGACCGCTGTGTTTCTTGATTACAGACTCATTTGCACAGGGTTAGCCTCGAGTTTGTGCAGAATATTCACGTGTTCCAGTCAAGGTCCATCGAGTTTCAAAGTGTTTGTAATGTTGAAGTTGTGCATTCTTTACTTTACCGTTGGTATTTGTGAATATTTAAACACTGATATGAGGCTAACCCTGTGCAAATAAGTCTGTAATCAAGGAAGACAGCAGTAATTTGGAATTTGAAACTGGTCTATTGCATTTTTTAGGTCTCTAATATCTTGATAAATTTTTAAGAACTATAATTATGCCAAATTTTACTAGTCATAATAATGTTTGAAATATCCATATTTATTCTAATTTATACTTACATATTTTGTAAATTATTTATTATATATTATATATATTATATATTATATATACCATGTTTAAATAAAGTCTTAGATTTGATTTGTGGATAACCTCTAAAGGTTGTCCTGAGATTTGAATGGAATTTCTCTTACCAAATTTCAGTTTCAGTCCTTTGCTAACAAATTGGTAGTTGAGAAAATCCATTGGTATTTCCATTACCATTAAACCTTAGTCATCCTGACCATATTTTTTCTGCTTAATGGTAAGCACCTCTGGTGTGTAAGTTTACAGGGTGACTAAAATGAAAATTGTTTCATGAGGACTAAAGATCTATTGGCTGTATTTTTACAGCTATTTTCATAAGCATGCAACCTCTGTGCTCTTGAGTTGCATGTTGAAATCTGGTTTTTCTCTCCCCCCAGTCAAAAATGTGAAACATACCAACTGATAAGGTTTGATTGATGGTAACGAAAAACCAAATTTCAGCATGCAACTCAAGAGCACGGAGGTCACATGTTTATGAAAATAGCTGTAATTGTGGGATAAATGTTGACATAACTAAATTGGAGTTTAATTTGTTGCCTGATAGAGCTCTGACGACGTTAATCCCAAGGCCTATCCTCTGGCTGAACCTCAACTTACTGTAAGTATTTTGGACTTACTACAACAAGCTGTCAACTATAAACAGCTGAGGAAAGGAGCTAACGAAGGTAATAAACCTTTTTTGTATTCGTAAAGTCAGAGTGTTCCTTGATTACAGACTCAGTTACTGTAATGTTTACAGTGAGGACCCTCTAACCATGAACACTTTGTGCTTTTTTACTACTTTCTTTAACATGCATCCCTGGAGTGAATCATAGCATGTTTGAGTTCAGTCCTACTTTTTTAGAGGATTTGAAGCAGTTAAAAGCTCAGAAAACAAAAATCTGAATAAAGTCAAGTGGTTATGGTTTGACTGTCTTCACTGTAATATTCTGCCAACTTGATACAGTAGTTACAAGCTGCTAACTGCATTTTAGTGTTTTGTTGCCATCAATGAAAATAATCTACCTTTAATGTTTTTGACTGGCACTAGTAAGGAGCCAATTTTAAAACAAGCCGTTGAAATGTCTGAGTTTGCAGAATATTGAAAATAGCAGTAATAGCCTTAATGATAGGGTAAATTATACGGTATCCGGTCTTTTCGCTACCTTGCACTTTCGCTACTTACCTAAAAGGTCGATTCGCTACTTAATCACATCCTTTTTGTAATCACTACCAAATCCTGCAATCTGATTGGTTCAAAGGAGTGCAATTAATTCCCAAATCGCATCCTTAGGAGCTCTTAATCGCATTCTAAAAAAATTTTTTTTAGCAATGAAATAAAACAAAAAAATAAAAAAAAAAGTTTTTTTAGATGTTTTTTTTTGTTCGCATTTAGTTCTTCTACTACATTAAACTGATTATTCTGCACTCTTTATTGTGCCTTTTTCTTATGTATGATTACAAAAAGGATATGATTAAGTCGTAATTGAACTTCGTGTCGTGCAATTTTGGTCTGAAATCAAACTTGCAATTACAAATCACAATCCCGCTACGCGGTCGTGTGATTTTGTAATCGCGCGTTTGATTTCAGACCAAATTGCACTCCACTCAGTTCAATTACCATTATTAATAGAAGTCGATTCGCTACTAATAGAAGTCGATTCGCTACCTTATCTCAAAATGTTGAATATCACAATATCGGGGATATATTACATAGATATTAATTTTGAGTCTATATCGATAAATTTAAATTGTGTTTTACGGCATCGAAACTTATCAATTTTCTGGTCAGATGTCGATGGAGAAATCTAAACCTAGCGAAGAGAGGATATTTACATCTCATTTACGTGCGAGTTAACGACGACTAACAGAATCTTGAGTTCACTGAAGAACTTTTATGACAAATAAAAAGTTTTAGTTCCAAAGAAGAAATCTAGTCGAGTTTTTCAGAGTTATTTTGGCTTGCTTCGTAGCAAAGTAGCGATTGGACTGTCGGCGTTGTGTGACAACAAGCAAATCGAAAACTATGAGAAACGAAGGCTTATTTTTATCCCCGCTCTTACTCGATGACTAAAAGTTTGACTTCAAAATAAAAGGGTTTATGTCAAGGAAGAATTTTAGCTAGCAAACAAGTAATCTAGTGGGTTTTTTTAGAGTTTTTTTTAGCTTCGTAGTAAAGTAGCGAACGGACTGTCGGCGTTGTGTTACAACAAACAAATCGAAAACTATGAGAAACGAAGGCTTATTTTTATCCCCGCTTTTGCTCGATGACTAAAAATTTGACTTCAAAATAAAAGGGTTTATGTCAAGGAAGAGTTTTAGTTACGAAACAAGCAATCTAATGGAGTTTTTTTTTGTTTCGTAGTATTAAGTAGCGAAAGGACTCTCGGCGTTGTGTTACGACAAACAAATCGAAAGCTATGAGAAACGAAGGCTTATTTCATCCCCGCTTTTGCTCGATGACTAAAAGTATGACTTTAAGATTTACTAGATTGCTTGCTTCGTAGCTAAAATTCTTCCTTGACATAAACCATTTTATTTTAAAGTCATACTTTTAGTCATCAAGCAAAAGCGGAGACAAAAAAAAAAGGCTTCGTTTCTCGTTTCTCATAGCTTTCTATTTGTTTGTTGTAACACAACGCCGTAAGTCCGTTCGCTACTTTACTACGAAGCTAAAAAACCTCCACTAGATTGCTTGCTTCGTAGCTAAAACTCTTCTTTGACATAAATATCTTTCAAAAAATTTCCTAAGAAATGAGCGAAAGCAAGAAACCTGTTTGATATGACAGATCACAAGACGGATATTCGGCCGACTTCTCCATACATTACGCCAAAATACGCTTTGAAATTTCTTTCTTTAAAAAAACATGAAAATAATAATGAATTACTTAAAACTACTGATAATAAACGATCCAAAATGTTATAGAGGAGGTTCACAGGCATCTTGAGATAAAGTAGCGATTGTGCTTCTTCGAGGTAGCGAATCGACTTCTATGAAGTAGCGAATCGACTTCTATTAGTAGCGAATGTGCAGTAGCGAAAGTGTAAGGTAGCGAAAAGACCGTAATTCAATTATACACAGGGAAAAGATGAAAAAACTTTTCGGACGCTAGTCTTTCGTCGGAGAGTCCTTTAGACAAAGGACTAGTGTCCAAAACGTCAGTAAGTTTTTTCATCTTTTCATGGTGTATAATTTACCTTTTTATCATTACTGTTTCTTTAGAAACACAGACGCAACTCTCACTAGTTTTTAGCCAGTTATCTCTTCAGTAATAGCCTTATTTCAGCATTTAAGAATACCAATGGCGTGGTGGTCAGGATTGTCAATAAAATTTTTGGTAGAGAGCAAACGATTAATCCGTGAAACACTAATTACTAAATAGTACAAAATAGTGCTAAATAAACAATAGAAAACAATGGAATTTGCATGAAATTGTGCTATTTAGTATTACTAAAGTTTCAGGGTTATATTGTTTGCACTCTAGGCGGTTATGAAATTGAAATAGGCAGTGATGAAAAGCACATGGTTTGGTAAACCGGAAATAACTGGAGCATGTAATCAAGGCATACTTGTCACCAGTCTCACTCTTCTCACAAAAATTCAAGATGGCGGACAACGACCGTTATAGTTTCAATTGCGCTGCAGTTTTTATAGTACAGCAACGGGGATTGGGTTAAAATTTATTTTATACACACATTTTGCTAGTTTAAAGAACTTTAATGAAGATTTACAATTACATTGGGAAGTGGCTGAGTTAGTGAGAGAATTGGGAATTGGCTGAGTAGGTGGCCGAATTAGCAAGAGTAGACGGCGGAATCTGCTGGTTGCCGGCTTCTATTGACGACCCTGGGTGGTGCTGATGTGGTGCTCAGACAATAGTAATTTTGATTGTCAGGACACTAATTTCAGTGTCTGAATTATGAACATGGTTTTTGTTAATTTCAACAGCTACCAAATGCTTAAACAGAGGAGTAGCAGAGTTTATTGTGATGGCTGCTGACACAGAACCTCTGGAGATCCTTCTTCATCTTCCATTGCTGTGTGAAGATAAGGTGAGACAAAAGGGACATCTAAGGGGGAGGGGTGGGGCAAAGATGATCAAAACTTGACAGCTACTGGTATGGGTGGTGGATAGTTGATCAAGACTTGACGTCAAGGGGGAGAAGGGCCATGCAAAGTCAATCACTACACTTAAGGTTGGGTAAAATGATTTCCCATATCAGACCCCGTACCAAGGTATTTTCTCCTGAAAACTTAAGTTGGGGTGCAGTGCCCATGAAAATGAGTATAGTCCTCCACAGCTTGTGAATTTGGCAGGTTAAATGGAATATTTTCTGCAGATAACACATTTATCATGTCAAGTCCCACAAGGATATGACAGAGATTTGAATAAGGTTCAATGGGCTGATCTAAATCAGGGCACGGCTAAATCAAAAATTGAACCCTGAAACAACCTCTGGGCTGATCTAAGTCAGGACACAGCTAACTCACAGATGTAACCTGAAACGACCTCTGGGCTGACCTAAATCAGGGCATGGCTAACTCACAGGTAGAACCCTGAAACAACCTCTCTTTTGATCTAAGTCAGGGCACAGCTAACTCCCAGATCGAACCCTGAAACAATCTCTGGGCTGATTTAAGCCAGAGCATGGCTAGTAATATAAATATTTTTTCATATCTTTCAGAATGTACCGTACGTATTTGTTCGTTCTAAGGCAGCCCTTGGTCGTGCTTGTGGAGTAACAAGACCAGTCATCGCTTGTGCAGTGACAGCCAATGAAGGCTCACAACTCATACCTCAGATCCGATCACTGCAATCATCCATCGAAAAACTTCTTTTTTAAAAGACTTTATTTTTTCACCTCTTGCTTTTTTCATAGTTAATAGAGGGGAATGGTTAGGAAACCTATTGTTATAGGTCTTTGTTCGCTTTTGATGTTGAACCGGTCTTGACCGTGCACAAGGTTTGATTTATGCTCATCCGAAATTGCAAAATAAGTAAACGTAAACTTCGTCTATGGGATTGTTGTAAGGAATATTCAAATATCTCTTGTAAATCTTTAAGTATTTAGAACTAGCAGCCAAAAGAAAGATTTTGGTCTGTTTACTCAGCCGTTGCCAACAATGGTAAAACAATGGTAAAACAAAGGATCGTGCACGGTCACGCTTGGAAAAAGTGAACAAAGACTTATAACAAAAGGGTTTCCTAACCATTCCCCTCTATTAACTATGTATTTTAGAACTGTTTTCTTGTTTCTTCGATCTCTACTCTTCAGACATCTGGGTAATTTCTTGCTTCCTTCGTAGCGTCGCAAAGATTGACAGAAACCAAAACGCTAGAAAAGGTATAATGTCTGAATCTGATTGTGTCGCATTAGCATGTAAAGTGACAAATATGAAAAACCAATAAACAAAATCATCGAACGACTTATGTTTAGCTTCATTTGTCCATAGTTAGTACTACTAACTACATTTACATTTTATATTTACCAAATTACAAGCACGCCCTCTCTTCGAGGGTTAAGTGCTCGTGTAGGTCAGGATCAACATTAGTGTTCTAATTTACGGACCCCACTTTTAAATGCATTAACTATGATTCTTCAGGAGAAAAAACGTTGCGTGGCGACCTTACGAGGCTCTGTTTCGGCCATAGGGTGACAATGAAGTTTTGAGGAGGGAGGAAAACCGGAGATCTCGGGAGAGAAAAACTCTACTTACATCTGATGCTGAGTTCCAGGAATGGAAATGGGTGCACTACTACCACCACTAGCCAGAAAAATGGTTGTCTATGCACAAGTTTCTTAGGCTGTGTAGCACCCCCTGGTTCTGCCAATTCTGTATGACAACACCATTTGCTTTGGACTTGCAACAAATTCTAAGAACTTGCAACAAATTTAAGTGTCCAAAGAAAAATATAAGTGCTTATTAGCCTTGACCATGGTCGCAAAAAAAGTGACCACAAACAAAATATTTGTAAGTGCATGCGTTCAATATATGTTTTAACCGGGCTCCCTATTTTAATCCAGCCGTTGAATTCCTACGTGACAAAATGGCAAACCTTGCCTTAGAGAACAATTTTGTGGTCACCTGCGCCACAGGAAGCACATACAACCTTTGAGAACTATGGCGGATCCAGCCATGGGTTCAGGTGGTGCGCACCCCCTCCTGAAAGGATTTCAAGGACTTGTTTTCTAATATATCTTTTCAAAATACCCTCCGTGTTCCAGTGTATTTTCGTGTTTTTGTTGTGGTGCATCCTATCCCGAAAACAATCCTAGATCCGCCCCTGACTACGAGGATGCAGGAAAATGGCTCGACATGTGCTCCGTTCTTGGCCTCGTTTGTTTATACAGGCTAGTATAGAGGCTTTGTAAACGAACGTCTTTGTTTTGAGATAGTCAATTTTACCAGTGAGTTTTCATCTTATGCAATTATGTACGTAGATGGCAGTGGCGGATCCAGGATTTTTCAAAGGGGGGTTCCGTTTCTTAAACTGTTGGCTCTAATCGAAAAAAAATTGGCTCTAATCACCTAATTTACTATCTATACTAGTAACGGAACTTAAAGTGTATATGACACGAAAACATTTCATCGTTTAAAATGTATAGTTTGTTGATAATAATGAATATATGGTAATAAAATTTGTTTCAAAAGCTTATTTCTTGAGATATGTAAGAAAA